GCAGACCGGCAGCGTCGTAATGGAAATATCCGTGGGGGTCGTGGAGGCCGCGGTGGTAGACCAGGTGGCCGAGGAAACGGACGTGGTCAGTAGGTTGGAGTGCCTCTTGCTTCGAAGATAGTGGGTGTTGTTACAGATTGGGATGCGTTTTGGATCTTTCAGGTTTTTCAGCGAGATTGTTTCCTTTCTCAACTCTTTCTTCTTATGTTCCAAGAGTAGGGCAGTTCGGGCGCATTGAACCCGGTGCTTTGTTATTAGTACAACGCCTAGCTGTTAGATACCGCGTATATTCTTTTAGTTTTCCAAAGTTTCTGATGCTCGAATCTGCTATAAGTAGGAAGACTGTTGTCGGGGTTGGAAGTACTCGGCGCGATGATCTTCAAATTACCAGAGCTCTGCCTTCATCATTAGTTCTTCCCTAAAATGGCCTAAAGTGAACTTCTCTAATACTCTCCCAAGCCGTTTTTTGTTCATTAACCTTGACGAGATGTCGCGGCGTGGTCGTGTAGAAAACAAAGACATGCGACCCACTGCACCCATCTATGCAGACTGTATTGTCGAAAATGCTGGATGGTAAGTCATGACATGCGCAAGGGTATCAAAGGCAGTAGAAACGAGTCAAGGGGTCAGTGGGTCTGTAGCAAGTTCTCCAGATGATAATCAAGACATGGGAGCACGAGAGAAGTTGATGAAATATATGCATGAATAGACGATTCGCATGCTAACCATGCAAAGGTGCCGCTACTAAAACGCAACTCTGGAAGCAGGTATAAAATCCAATCCACCGTCCTCTTTTAGTAAAGCAAACACAAAAACCAGAACATCCCCCTTCTTCCCTAACACCCCCATCTAACCGAAGTGAGGAGCGTTAAGAACGATGGCGCAAGAGACACCACCAATAGTCCCTGCAATAGGGATAGTCATAATCCAAGAAAACACCAGCAGACCCACTCTCTGCCAGTTAACAGCCTTGAGCGTACCGTTGCAAAGACCAACACCAACCGTCGCACCGGTAATACACATGGACGTAGAAACAGGAAGCGAGTACTGCGAGAAGATAAGCACCGTAAGCGCAGCACCCATCTCCATGGAGCAACCTCTGCTAGGCGAGTGATAAGTAATCTTGTTACCCATGACCTTCATGATGTTGTAACCGTAAGTAACGAGACCGAGAGAGAGGGTAGCAGAGAGAACGGCGAGTTGCCAGACGGGCACGGATGCCTTGGTCTGCGAGGCTTTTCCAGTGTTCCACGCGCCGTAGATGACGGCCCAGGGGCCGACAGCGTTTCCGATGTCGTTGGCGCCGTGGGCGAAGGAGGCGGTGCAGGCGGTGAGGACTTGGACGAAGGAGTAGGTGTGCTCGACTTCGTTGGAGTACTTCTTTGCGTGGCTGTAGACGCGCTCCATGCGGCGGCCTTCGGGTGTGCCGTGGATACCGGTTTGCGCGGCGTGGATGTCGTAGTTTACGCCGTAGAGGGCGCCGACGACGAGCATGGCGGGAATGCGCTTCAGGGTGATGAGCATGTTCTTCTTCTCGTAGATCTCGCCGGTCTGGATCTTGTTCTCGTGGAGGTAGCGCATGGCCCAGCCGAGAGGTCCCTTCTTGGCGCGGAGCTTGGAGTGGAAGCGCTCTTGACCTTGGGCAACGAGTTCCTTGTAGCTGGGTTGTTGGTGCTCGGCGATGTCGGTGGAGACAGCCATCTTCTCGTGGTCGTGGACGGTAATGCCCTCTTCGGAGTCGTTGTTCTGCTCGGGCTTCTTCATCTCTTCGTCCTCCTGGACGACGGCGTAGTCGGGAACAACGGCAGCCTCGGCGCCATCCTGAGCGGGGCGCTTGAAGAGAAGAGGACCCTGGAAGACGTGGTACCAGCGGACGGTATGGTCACGCTTCACGACCTTGGCGTGTAGGTAGGGGACGAAGAAGAGGAAGGAGAGGAAGGCTAGACCGACACCGCAGGACATGGTGACGGTTGCGACATACCACGCGGGCTTCTTGTTGAGACCGAGGTTGGGCGATCCCTTGTAGACGATGGAAAGTGTGCAAATGGTTCCAGCAACGAGGAAGAAGAAGGGTGCAGTCCAGATGGCCCATGGAATGGGGTTCTTGCGGACGTGGACGGTCATCTTGATCAGCATGAAGATGATGGCACCGAAGCAGGCAGAAGCAGCAGGTGCCATTCCGAGACCAGCGAAGATGGCACCAAGACCCTTGCCCTTGTTCCAACCCCATTGTACGTTGGCAGCACCGGCAACGGCGACACCAACACCAGCGACGGAAGAGATGAGCGAGTAAGACGATGAGACGTGAGCGGAGTGCTTAGTGCACCACTATATGCGGAGTCAGTGTATGTTCCAAACGCGATTAGTACAGTGACACTTACCATAACCCACATGGAAGCACCAGCGAGAGCGCAAGTGAATGCGAGCATCTGAACACCGGCATCGTCCTTGAAGGCAGTGGGAGGAATGATGCCGTTCTTGATCGTCTCAGCGGTACGGGCACCGACAGTGATAGCACCGACCATCTCGAAGATGGTACCCAGAATCATGGCCTGGCGGTAGGAGACCGAGCGGGAAGACACTGAGGTAGCCCATGCGTTGGCAACATCGTCTGTACAGTGTTAGTCTAGACCATGATGAAGTGATAGTAATTTGCACGTACTGGCACCGTTGTTGTATGCATCGAGCATGGCAAAGAAAGTGCCGATGGCGAAGACATAGTTGTACTGTGTAAGACGCGCCATGATGACTGATCCTCGAGCAGTACAAGTCGCTCAATGACAAAGAAGGCTGTTTGAAGTTGAAGCTGGGATGCCGAAAGCAAGGGAGGGGCCTCCGTGAGACATGTATATATATTGAAAGAGGCCCTTCAGGTCGCTCTTTGCGGCGGAGAAGGCCCGTATTGGCTTACGGCGTCAATCCATTCGATTGATTCCAGACTGATGGGTGACATCCGACGCCCTGCATGTGCACCTACTATGCAGCCACCACTCAGAGGCCGCAACGTGAGAGCATTTGCCAAGAAAACGTGTGCTCGAAATGAAGCTGTGATTGGGTAGGGCGTAGAAGGATGGCGGATTTCTTGCCAAGGCCGTCAAGATCTCCCCACTAGCGCAGTCAAGCAACTCTGGTGAATGATGGCGGAGCTTAGCGCCTTTAGCACGCAACCTCTCATTGAAGCTACCAAGCCGATAACTTTGAGAGCCATGTCTCTTGGCCGCATCTTGGCAAAGCTCGTAGCGTTCGGGCGTGGAGTGGTCTCGTGTAGAAAGGTCAGCCAATAGGAGCATCGCACGCCAAAACGTGGGTAGCATCAACGGTCGTCAGACGTCGACATCCATCCACCAGCTGAACCAGGCCCTTCCACGGCCCTGGGTCCTGGCATCTCTCCCACGCATCCTATTTGCTGATGCATTAATTCACCTTCCAGAACAGTGTCCGAAAGCTGACGGGCACGCCTAAGAATTTGCAACAGATTCTCCTTGGCGTTTCCAGCATGCAAGCCGAGAGATTAACGCCCATGGCTACGCGACTGACATCGTGAGGTCTGCCATCTCCGGAATATCGTCTAGCGGAAGTAGCTCCTGCGCGATTTTCGAGTCCATCCTTCGCGAGCGCCGAGGTTGCGGTTTTGACCAACAGTGTGTCTGTATCACAACACATGGTGTCGAAGATTGATACGGATGCTGTTGAATAGCATCGAGAGGGTGTTGCGCTTTGATGTATGAGACGCGGAATACGCCGTACAGAGTTAGTGACCTGCGTGTAGTTGGAGTTGTCGGCGACTTCCTGTATCAAGGTCTTAAAGCAAGCTGTAGCTTTGTTGTAGGTCAGACGATATATTGACGTTGAAATGCAAACCGGACAGAGGGGACCTTGCATGGCATCTCTTGGACCAGTTTGTGACTTGCGGGTCAACTCAATCAGAGTCCGGCTCGGTGGTATCATGCGTACACTAGGATCCGTTTACCAACAGAGGCGGACTCTTGGCCCGCCAAACGCTATGAGGAAGTACCTCCATGATGGACTCACCATCTGTATAGATGATGCCGAGGGGCTGTGTTTGCCATCAGGCTACGCAAGTCCGGTCTCTTGGGATGTGCACATCAGATAACGCAGCTGCATTCAGCGTTGCGCGGCGATGTAAATCATATCGCCGCTGGTGTAGCCTCCTATAGATGCCTCCGTGGTGATCAGGACGCCGCGGGGGGGTTCGGAGACCAGATTGATTCCGCTGCAGTCGCCATCACCCACACCTGTCCAATAGGTACAGGCGGATCGGTGCCTGAGTTCTTAAGATCGAGAGTTCTCAAAGAAGATGTGAATGCGTCGCCATGTCCAATACATTCCGTTGGAAGCGTGACGCGTCGAAAGTCGAAATCCCTTGTCCCTTCTCTTTCAATCAAATCGCGCTAGTCCAAACGGGTAAGCTCCTCTTCCCTACCAGAGAAGGACCGAAAGACACCGGTTGCCGCAACGACATTCAAACCACAGCGCAAGATAATTTTGTTGGAAAATGACTGACGAAATAAAATGCAAGAGAATGCGTCAGGAAGTTGCGAGACGTAGTCAACTTAAGCTTGTGGATCGCCCTCTACCCCAGTTCGGTGTGTGCCCATCATTCCACAAAACAAGCCGCCTGTGTGCCGACTTATCCGGCTTCGCCCTGCACCTACGGCATCTGTGTGACGAAACGAGGGAGAATTCAGGTACCCGTCTTGTGAGCATCTGCGATGGGTGGTAAGCTTTTCTGTCAAGGTTTGGCGTTGTTTGGAGAATTATGTGGCGATCTTTGCAATTGTGAGGTGGTAAGGTGAAAGTCAGGTCGCACCTGCATCATGGGGCGATATGCCACAAATGCGCCCTCATAATGTCCATTATAGGAAGCTACGGACGACGGCTGCTTTGAAAAAAATTACCATTATTACATATAACAGGCGAATCCGCCCGTTTTTTCCATCACATTAACGCCAGATCATAGCAATCCGAACCACGTTTTCCTAATATCCCACACCCACTTCGCCCGGGAAGCTAGCCCAAAATTCCTGTGTCGCATTGATCATCATAGCCTCTAATTCTTCATTCGTTAGGGCAAATGATTCGAACGAGTCGAGGTTGAAGGTTTCGTCAGCCTCCAATGGGGGCACCGCTGGAGGCGTGTTCCACGAGAAGTTTGATGAGTAGCTGTTGGGCGTGGGCGCTGCGGCAGGCATGGGGCTTGTAGCGGGTAGGGGACTTCTAACGGGTGGGTTGGTAAGGTTGGCGATCATGGGTTTGCGCTGGTGGTGTGTTAGCAGAATTTTGTGAATGGGGTATGGAGCACGTACATCGTTGTGCTGCTGTGAAGGGGACCTGCTGGAAGCGATGTCTCGAGCATCAGCTGGCTTTTGTACAGGCGAGGGCTGCAACGCGCCGTAGTCGATCATGGCATGTCGCAAGGCTCGTCGTTCTTCGGGTGATGCCGGGCCGTCCTGGCCAAGTATCGAGCGGTAGTACGCTTGCATGCGCCTGATGGTATCATACTGGGGTCGTCAGCGTGTGTTTTCTAGATGCTTTGAGTTACTCACCCAGGTTTCTGCCATGGGCCATTGCGTCTTCATCTCCTTCAGGAAGTTGCAGCCCTGGATGACGCTCTTGCGCGCCTTCTCCCGCCAGCGAGGATCGTCATCACCACTGGGGAAGTTGAAGCTGTACAGCATTGCGCCGACTGCAGTGTAGATGGTGAAGCCGATCCACGGAACTAGGCCTCTCAGGAAGTACACGCCGAAAGTGCGCATCTCCTCGAGCATGTCTAGGACCATGACCGAGTCTTTGAACAGCTCCTTGCGTGAAGTCTTCTCCCATTTCTTCCACATGTCACGGTGTTCGTCGTAGGAGTTGGGCGTCTCTTCGGGGTTCGCCCCGTTCTGTTGCGGTCCCAGGACGGGCAGGTAGGCGCGATGCAGGAACATGTAGCTCATAAAGTGTATGCAGTGCATGTAGCAATACGCTTGGCCTTGCTCGACGGCATTGTGGCTGTGGAGGGTGAAAAGGTCGTACTGCAGGCGCTGCGGGAGCGAGGCCTTCCAGCCTTCGAGTTCGTATATGAGCTGCTGGAATTGCGACGAGGAGGCCCACGGCAGTTCGCTCTTGAGGTCTTCGGAGCACGCCCAGCGCGCGACCTTGCCCCATATGTTGGCAGCGCGCATGCTGTATCCAATAATGCCAATCTCTCCCACTGGCAGAGCTACTGGCGGCATGCGCTGTGTGTTGTCTAGCTGCGGTGTGCATACAGGCTCCCCGAAGACAAAGTCCTCGCGCTCGCAGGGTAGCTGGATCTTCATGTCGGCGGCGGTCAAGGATCTCTTGCGCCCCTTGCCGCCACTGAGCAGCGAGTCCATGAGGAAGCAGGTCCAGGCAGTCCGTCGGCGCACTTCCGCCTCGATGAACTCCTCGCGCGTCGGCACGCGGTTTCGCGGTATGCCCGTCTCGCGCGTCAGGTCCATGACTTCGACGAGCCGTATGGCCATGCCCAAGTATATCCAGGCCCGCCTTCCATTGCCGGCGCCCCAGTCGTGGCCCGTCAGCATCAACAGGGCTTGGACGCGGCTTATCGAGGGCGTCTCGAGGTCCTGCTGCAGGATCTGGCGGGCGTGGGCGGCATAGGCATTGCTGGCTTCAGTCTGCGACCGGAAGGGCGACGGCGGCTCCTTGACGAATCTACGTCATGTTAGAAGTGCGACTGCCTGCATTGTGAGTGCGCGCATACCTGATGGCCAGTGCCAGGATCGCCCAGGCCATCCATGGCTCGAGGGTGCGGTCGCGGATCTTGCGCAGCAACGTCGGCGTGTGGTGGAAACTCCACTTGTAGCTGCATCGGAGGTAGCTGTTCTTGACCTCGTCTGTCAGCAGCTCAAAGGGATCGAGGCCGTCGAGCAGCGCGGATGCCGCATTCGGCGACGCGTGCTGTGCCGCCTGGGTGCCGGTCGGCAGATGTGCGTCATGGCGGCCCTGATGGGGCGCTACACTCGTCGTACTCGAGTTGACGGGTGTCGGCGTGTCTCCTGCATCTTCAGAGGGCCGTGGTCGCTTGGGCTTGCGGTGTATCGCGCTGGTTCCTGGCGCTATCGACTGTCAACACGCGCTCTAGGGGATGGCAGGAGCTTCGACGCACCTGGGAACTCGCACCGATCGGCGCGCCCGCACTGCTTGCACCTGTCGCACGGCGGCCGGTCTTCGTGGATGCACTTCTGTTTCGCGGACCTGCAGGACACACACGCGACGGGATTGCGCATGGTCGCGATGCCTTCCAATGTTGGAGAGGCCAAACATCGACGGGGTGAGGGACGACCCTGCCTCGGTCGCTCTTCCCCGTCGCGATCTGCTCTCCGCATCCCGTGCCTGCCCAACCTTTGCGCTAGGCCGCTCATCGCCAAGGCAGGGAGATCCATGAACCCTGTGCGTATTTCTTTTTTATTTGATCGAATGGAACCATCTCACGATATATCCGTTACATTATCGCCGTCTCCATATCCCTAGCTTCAAGCATGCTCAGGCTTGGCGACGCAAACAACCACCATGAGAATGCCTCGGGAAGGAACGATCCTCTTCATCAACCCGCGTCGAGCAGTTGCAACAACATCGTCACAGCCACCATGCGAGCCATCATCCATACATCTGGCCTGTTGCCTACGGGGGAATCTGAGCAAGCCATCCCCTTTGCGGTTTGCTATCAAAACAGTCGTCCTATCTTGTTTCCCTCCCGCGTCTCCCATTCCAAAGTCAAGTCTTCCACGTCCCTATCTTGAGTGTGTTTTATGACTCAGGTCATTTCCCCAGATTCTTCCCTGTGTCTCGGCACTGTAGACTGGACTGTAGTCCCATCGTCACTAGATTTTCATCCTTCACCTATGACGAGTCCAGCTGAAGAGCTACTGTATGCGCAAAGCAGAACGAATGTGAATCATCGTGACGCTTATCATTCACCAGTCAATCTCAGTCGCCCTTGTGCTGGTCTTTCAAGCCACGTCTTTGTCCAACACACATTCACTTCGCACGGACCCAACCACCACGTGTAGCTATAGTTCTTCCCCTTCACTACCACAATATATTCGTAATAGTCACTCGATTTCTGATTCGGGTTTAGTGGCGTGTACAATAGCCCGTACTCAACCTCTGCTTGATTACACTAATTTGATCCGACATCCACTTGACAGTTGTTGCTTTCCAAGTCCTACTTTCGTTTTGAGACCACGCCTACTAGCCACCAGATAACGCCAGCAAATCCATCGAGATATTGCTGATCGCCAAGCGCAATGGCTCACTCATCGGCCGCCAACCGCCCTGGCTACCAAACATACGCAGTTCCTCTGTCTGGTGGAAAGAGGAAGCGGGCTACTGCGAACAGCCAGTCAGAATCGGTGAGCCACTTATCTTCAGATCCCTTCCCTCTGTACTAACGAAGACGTCTAGGCTGAACCCAATGCGACTCCCATCGCAGCGCGTCCAAAGAAGAGTCGCCCCAACGAAAAGGAGTACAACGCCAAGTACATGGCTGAGATGTGCTTCAGCGCGTACAAGGCGCGCCTACACATCGCCGGCTATTCGCAGTATACTGCCGACGTCGCAAACGACTGGCGAGAGGATCTTGTCGAGTTGTTCAGCCACGCTGCCTTGAAGGGAAGCATGAAGCAGGATGCCGCAGCTCGTCATGTCATCCCTCGTCTGACAACTCTCATCCCCCAAAACAACGAAAAGAAGGGCGCGCTCGTGAAGTACTTTGCGAAGCATTACGAGACTGTGCGAAATGACATGATGGTCATCGACAGGGTCATGGTAAATGGCTTCAAGGTCGACGAACAAGCCATCATCGAAGTACGCGAGTGTCTCAATGGCCTATACTATATCCTCGCCAAAGGAGAGCAATGGCGCACCGTAATGCCTTACACACCGCTGCCAATATACCGGCTTCGAGCCCTCCGCGACCTGATAAAGTACTCACGGCCTCATCACCTCCTCAGCGATCTGATCACCAACATTGAAGACATGGAAGGTTGGCTCAGCCCGCCACCTGTGAGCTTTAACTTCCCGACTGCGTCGATCAACGAGACGATGGAGACGTTGCAGAAAGCAACCGAGGACAAGATCGTAAAGACCAGCATCGGCCCTGACGCACAGCAGATGGCAGAATACCGAGCGCAAAAGGCCGAATCCCTGCGTCTGCAGACGGAGGAACAGTCCCGTCAACAAGAGAAGCAACGTCTCGAAGAATTCCAACGAGCCCAAGCGGAGCGAGAGCAGCTGAAGCAACAGATCAAGTCGCTCGAGACGACCGCCGCAAAGGAACGCGCCCAAGAGAGTGTGAAGAAGGCCGCAGAAACTGCAGCAACGGCTCAACGCGAGAAATCATACCAGGACCAGATTGCGCAACAAACAACTGAGATCAACAGACTCAAAACCGACCTGACCAACCTGTCTGCTAAGCAGGCAGCCCAAAATAAGCCCGAAGCCACTACGACATCGCCACTTCCAGTTACTGCAGTACAGAGTAGCACTTTAATGAACTCTTCTTTCGGTAGCAATCAGACTGCCAACAGTAGCTTCTACCAGCCACAGAGCTCTCTAGGCACTTCTTTCGGAAGCTCTGTCAATGGTGGAACATATGGACAGCTAGGTTCATTCGGCCAAGTTTCACACCATCCTACGCCGAAAGACGACGACGTCCAAATGATGGACGCTCGAGGATTTGATAGCTCGCGGCAACACCCGAGCTTTGGTCAGGTCGCAACGTCGATCACACGCGGTATAGGCCAGTCGAACCCCTTCAATGCACGTATCACCAATGGTGCTCCCTCACATCTCTTCGGAATGTCAGTCGGCGACGGCAACTTCAAATCGGCTTGCCCAGCATACAAGAACGGGACCTGCACATTAGGCAAGAGTTGCAAGCTGCCCCACACCGCATGCAAGTTCTGGTTGAACGGTAGTTGCAAATTTGGTGGGAGATGTAAACACAGCCACGATCCTTTCTTCCTCACAGAAACCGCATCAAAAGTCCAGTCAAAACAGTTTCCACGAGGTGACCAGATGGTCATCGATCCTATCCCTGCACCGCGATCCAGTAACTTCTCCCAAGCGAACCCCTTTTCCATTCACCTGCCGGGTGGTTCAAATCCACTCCGTGGGGGGATGAAGGGGGATGGGCGATTTGCCTTGCAACCTAAGCAGCAAGACCAGACTTTTGGCTTTATTAATCGCAACAGCAAGAATCCGTTCGCCCAGGCTCCATCACCAGCGCCAGCAGTGCGCAAACCGACACTTGCTGAGCGGGTAACGAAGGGTGAACAACCCACCTCTTTTGATAACCAAACGCCATTTGGATACCATACCCCACCAACTGGCCCTCGAGGAAACCGTTCATTCGCCGGCAGGATAACAAAGAACGATCAACCCATCTCACATCACCCCCAACATCAGCCTCCTACTATTCGCATCGAACAATCGTTAGAGGATATCATCAATGCATCCGGAGCGAGCAGGAACGAAAAACAGGCAAAGCCACTTCAGTCAGAGACTTTCTGCAGGTGGCAAATCACCTCGCAAAATGGATGCACGAATCCTAGTTGTGGCTATAAACATGATCCGCCAAAGACGATGGGTACGACGGCTGGGAGGGGAGGGGGTGCGCGGGGTTTGAGGAATCCGTTCAGTCAGGTGGGGGATATTCTGAGGGGGAAGCGGTAGGCGGGAAGCTACGTTGAAGAGTTTGACGTTTGGAAGTCATCACGGGATATAGATAATGCACTGACAAGACTTTAAGCTGCTGTGTCTGCCTCTCTTCGACTACTGTGTAGTCTTTACGCTATGATACGATGTGTCCTACTCTTAGCTTCCACATAGATGTAGGTTCCTTGAACTTTTGTGCCAGCAGAATTCTGACGTTCTTTCAAGCTTGAGGGTGCTCGTCGCAGCTACGCATACTTCCTCGTCGCTGCCTAGCGAGCACTGTAGGACACAGCTCGATTCTCCAATACTGTTTCGACGACGTCGATCTGAAACACGCCTCATGGTGTGTATTTTAGGAATCTCGCCACTCACATAACCACTGCTACGCCAGGCGCAGTCTCAGGCACTTTTCTGAAGCCGCTGGACAAAGCGCCACTAGACACGAACTTTTCGACTTGAACTCGGACAAAGCCGGAAGTCACCCCGTGACCTTTGTAGGTACCGACTCTTTGTTATAGCACTTCCAGCTATGAACCATCGTCGAGGCACATCTTATGATCGTGACATGGTGTCACAAACTGCGCCTGCATCCCAATATCCTTCATCAACCAAGAGCCCACACACGACAAGCAACATGGGAATGACAAACATGTCGAACACATCAAATCTCACCGGTACAGGATGCCAAATAGACATCATAAACCACATCCAAGCCATCCAACAAAACTGGTTCATCCACCCCCCGACCTCAGAAGAGCCCATCCTCCCAGCCTCGCTCCTCGCCGGCGTCCCAATCAACTGCCTCCCGGCCCCAATTATCCAAGCTATCCACGAACTCTCCACACTAACAATCGGCCAAAGAGACCGAGCGCACAACCTACTAAACACCTATTTCCAAGCACGCATCCGCGAAGGCTCCTACAGCGGGAAAACGCAAAAGATCTTTGCTATTCTGGAAATCAGCGATGTGAAGAAGGCGTGTGAGAGTTTAAGGAGGATGATTAGGGGGAGGGAGATGCAGGGGCCTGTTCCGGTGAGGATCAACGAAGATGAAACGAGGAAGAGAAAGTATTCGATTAGACAGGAGATGGATAGTGTTGCTGAGGAGGGAGAGGATGAAGACGCGCAAAGACTGGCGAAACGGTTGAAAGAAGAACTTTGTGTCATCTCGGAAGATGAAAATACCACCAACAATGACCCTAGCACGCCAATCTGCATCAACTTTGATGATATACCCACGCCCCCGGATTCACAAGCAACGATAACGGCAACACTTCCTTCTACGACTCCCACACCCCAGACGCAGCGCCGCTCTCGTCCCCCTCCGATTGTCATTGCAGATATCCCCACGCCTACAGCTACCTCCCCTGGAATCGTCCCACCGTTCTCGTCTTCCACTCCCCTGTTCAATAGCCTAGCCCAGGAATTTGGCGGCGATCCAGATACACCGTGTCCGATACGACAGAACACGTACTCACAACCACAACCAAAACAACAATCTGAAATCAACATTGACAATCTAGATTCCAATGCCAATGGAAATGGTAATGGGAACGGTAATCTCTTCGAGTCCTACATGCGCGACGCGTACCCGGCGTCGAGGATAGATCCTCGTGTCCAGGCAGCGCAGAGGGCGACGCATGAGTTTAATTTGAGGAGGATGGAGGTGATTGAGGCGCAGAGAGTTTTTGAGGAGGCGAGGAGGAGGTTTGGAGAGGCGAAACGAAGGATGGAAAGCGTGAGGGGAGGGGCGATGTGGCGGTGATGGAGGAAGTGAAATGGGGGATAGCGACCTTATGAGCATTGTGGAGAAAGGAAGATGGGGAAATGGTAGTCTGATACTCCCTTAGAAGCGTATTTCGTTTTGATGAACAAATCCACCGTCGCAATCTCACCTTCATCCAAACCCCATCTTATTTCCCGTAAGTCTGCTCAACAGGCACAGCGCCATTCTCATCGCTCTCGGCACCCGTCGTGTCCACCTTTCCCAAGCCCATACTACTAGTATCGTAACCGTTGGCCGTGAGATACTCCCTGAAGCGTACATCCTCCTGATCGATAGTGTCCTGGCCGATATGCGGAAGTAGCAACACCAGACCCGCAGCTACAAAAGCAAGAGTAGAAGCCACAAAGAAGGGGTTGCGACCCGCAGCGATCTCATCATCGCCTGCAGCTTTCTGCAGAGCGTCGAGAGCGTAGGAGCCAGCGAATGCACCGATTTTGCCCACGGCTGCTGCGATACCGTAGTACTGTCCTCTGTCGAGGTGTTAGAAACTGGAGCTTCAAAGATCTGGCAAAGTAACATACCGTATTCCTGTTGCGCATGTCTTCGAAGCAACCAAACCGATGTTATCACCGGGGCCAAACTCGCCCAGCGCAAGGAAAACACCATACACCACAACGAACCCAGCGACATTCTCGGGCTTATTCAACCAAGGATAGCATCCAGCCATAATGAATCCGATAATACCCTGTAGAGTCACACCGATGAACAGCGTCTTCTTAGGGCCCATGGAAGGCAGATCCGCAACGAAAGCACCAGCAAGGCAACCAGGCATGTAGAAAAAGTTGATCAGGATATTCCATGCCAGACTCTTCCACAGCGGTGCCGATTCGCCTAGTAGATTGGCCAAGATGGACGTTGCGTAGATACCGAATGAGTACGCGCTAAAGTCGTAGATGAACCAGATGATGCTTACGATACTGAGGCGGAACCAGTAATACTTGATAATAAGCAGCCATGGCGTTTTCGCTTTGGCCAGCGACTCTCGTTTAAATGCCTCGGGCTCCTGTAGCTTCAATCGGAGGTATAGCAGCGAAAGAGGTGGGATGATTCCGATGCCCAAGCAGATGCGCCAGGCGGCTCGTAGATGGTCTTCGCCTGTAGCGAGGACAACGACGGTCGCCACGATGGCGCTGATGAAGAACGCTAGGTCGATCTGCACGTTGGTGAAGAGGATGAACCACTTGTTTCGGGTGCCTTGCTTGAGTTCGCCGGTGGATTCGGCGCAGCCGACGCTGCCTGCTGGGTACTCTCCGCCGATACCTGTCGCATGTCAGTATGTTTGACAGGAAGACATAGGTGCAGTCTGGCGTACCTATTCCGAGGAAGAAACGGTATACAACGAGCGCCGTCAACAGTCCACTCGGACTACCTCCAGCCCCGTACGACGCTGTACCCAAGATGGCGAACAGGATGATGATGATAGTTGACGTGAACAACGACCATTTCCTTGAAAAGTGATCCGACGTATATCCGAAGAATAACATGCCGACGACCGTGCCCGCAAAAGTGATACTCGAGACATTTGCTTGAGCGGAGGAGTTCGCATACGAGTCTGGGTAGATTGTCTTGAGCATGGTATTCACTGGACCGATTATCTAAGAATTCCTGTATCAGCATTTGCATTCTCGCAGTTCAGATCTCCATTTGGATATCATGGTGGTGCTTTGGGATGGGGAATGTTGGTGTCGCATTGGGAATCCTCGGGGTGTCGCTTCTTGGACTTGTGTTCTGCGTACATTATTGAGGTAGCCATCGCTGAAAAGACCCGCGCCGCATGCGATTACGGGCCATAATCTTTCCCACCTTCCTTTCTCTGTCTTTGCGACACTGCCTCTACGTTCGATGTCGCCTTTCGCGTCAGTCGCGTTGTACGGGTCTGGTTGGGTTTCCACAGCGGAAGCCATTGTAGTGTCGCGTGGGGCTTGTCCAGAATGCGAATGCGATCAAGCAGGGTGTCGCGCCACGATTACCAGCGTGGTAGGATAGCGAGAGGCGTCGTGAAAGCAGAGGATAAGCTTTCGTTGGCGGACCGCTCAAACTTTAACGGCTCTCACTCGTGCTTGAGCTTGCTTGCAACCCTGGTACGGCGGTTGTGCCACTCACTGCAAAAGACCCTGTGATCACCCACACTCGAAGCCGCATCGGGTTTGGTACAGTCGTGTCGAAAGCATTTGACCATTCACAATGGAAGAAAGCTTTTCCCAATACTTGTGGCGTAGGATTTGGAGGCCCACGAGCGGGTGTTACTCTATGAAGCAGGTGTGCACATTTCCGCCGGGAATACCTAGGGGCCGAGCAAGACAGCCGTTGGGGCTTTAACTCTATCCAAAATTACGCGTCCTTCGCCTTCTGGAATGATGTGGCGTTCGGGATTAAGTTCTATTGCCGCGTACAAGAAATAACGGTAATCAGCGGTTGTCAACACCAAACTTCTCGTGGATATTGAAGGGGAGGTTGTGTCTAGCCTCAAGCTTTGCCATGCTTTCTTCAGGCGTCCGAAGCCTTCGCGCGTCGCTCAAACAGGTTAGCAGCACTAACGCCGCTGACGCCGCGCAGAGCTTATCCTGCAGCTGCCGCGTCGACCTCGGGAATGGGCATGTGAGCACACGATCTAAAGTACGACATTCGATCGGGACAGCAACCCGATAGTTTACCTTAGCGTCGCAATCGAATGTACAGTATCTTACCGCCCAGGCATGTTTGTATTCGACGAGCAGACTGCGCAGTAGGTACACTAGCCATGTAACCATGTGCTGCTTCCCATGTGGAGATAAGAGTACTGTGGACGTAAAGCTAAACTTTACGCACGCGGCGCCACAGCCTTACATACTTTTCCAACTTCTCGCGAATGTAGGTGAAAAGAGATGATGAATGGTCGAGAACCATCCCTTGGCGGACAACCCTCCCCTCGACCCAAAACTCCAACGCTCAAACAACGGAGAAAGCGCGGCAGGCGGGGAGTAGGACGAACACGAACAACAGCACCGTGCGCGATTCTATTGAGATCCAACACGGCATCTCTGCGGGGGAACCATCGGTGATTGAATCAGTACAGTATCCATCGACTCCATCGTGCTCCCAGTTCGGACCGATAGCCATCGTTGCGGCCCGCGGCGCCTTGGGTGTGTATAACAAGACCGAACGATCCACGTGAGCAAGTTCAACGAAGGTGCCCAATGGGTTGATTGTGAAGAATGAATTAGATGACTACATTACTACACACTCATCTAATGTATGTGCTGCGTACAGGAAATAGATGTGTTGCATATTGCATTGCTGCAGGGTATCACGCGAAAGACATTACCAAAGACATGTACTCAATCCTTCCCACCCCTTCTCCCCTCTAAACAAGTTGGCTTTTTATTTTTTGTCCGACGCCTTGATGTGCTCGAATGGGATCGAAGATTTCTCGACCGTTGTCGTCACTTGCCCGCGTGAATTCGCCCTGTCCATCTCCATAAACCAGTCGTCGCCCTCGCTCTGCGTCAGGCTTTTTGAGCTCCTGTTCTCGTTGCTCGGGATGCGGTATAGGTGGCGTGATGATTCTTGACTGGGACGGCCGGCGAGGTCCATGCCCATTGTCCGGCCTACGGATGAGGCGGTGCTTGGTTTTCGTCCTCCTCCAAAACCGGTGGTTGGACCGACGGATGAAGCGGTGCTTGGTTTGTGATGATGGTGAATGGATGACTTCTCGCCGGACTTCCGCGGTGGTGCTCGATCAGAAATCGTAGTCACAACGCCCATCTTGCTATCTCCACCTGACGATTGTATCTTTCGGTCGCTAAGGCTGATGCCGCCGGTGGAGTCGAAGCTATCGTTTCTTGTGACATGTTCGACGTGGATCTGTACCTCGTTGACGACGAAGATCTTGTTCGATGCAAGTGTTGCTATGGCGGGCCAGAAGATGGGTATGGAGGCCGTTATGATAGCGAAGTTGACCTCGAGAACGGCGAAGATGTACACGATGGGTGTATGGAAGGACATGTCTAGGACAGGCTTGGTACCAGCTTTGTTAACAGACATAGCGATCATGCGACCGACAGCTACGATGACGACACTGGTAATTGTCAGTATGGGGCCATCTTGGAAGCTCATTATCCACTTACACGCAGCCCAAGCTGAACAGACCAACCAAGCCTGCTCGGCTTTTACCCGCAATCCTTAGCGTGGTTACGAAAGGCAGAGGTACTAGAAGAACCAAGATATCCAGTAAGCAATTACTGACAGCATGGCCCAAGAACATGTGGAAAAAGTCGGCGGGGTCTTTGCTGCCCCATCCAATGCATGTGCCCTGTAATGTTGGGTTCCAGTTCTTCCGGACGGGGTTGCAGGGGAAAAGCGCGAGCATGAAGAAAGTCAACCCCCAGAGTGAGCATATCAATATCATGCCCCAGGTGATACGGCGTGCGAGTCGATATTGAGCGGTAGTCGTGGAGGGCGCGGCTTCGGCAAAGAGTCGCAGATATTGTATGAGGATGGAGAGCTTGATGAGGGTTGTACTTGCGGTGTACGCAGCATTTGTCGAATAGATGTGCTGAAGCCAACGTTAGCTTGGCTAGTCAATATTATGTCAAAACGAAGTACCTTGAAATATGACGTTAGGTGTTCGGCATCAAGTGTCCACAAATGCAGCCCAAGACCATCCTCGGGCACTGTAAGTGATTAGTCAACCGCATTGTTCGTGGGATCTCCACAAACATACTCATGCAAACCATAATATCTCCGATGAAACTCGCCGTAGCAGCGAGAACAACAAAGACATCATCCCAACCCCAAAGGCGCTCCTTGATGCGAAACCATAATCGGAAGCTCAATGTGAAGATGGCGAGTGCCTGATAGACTTAGTACATGACGACTGATGGGATCATTTCTAAATCATCGCACGTACCAGGAAGGCAACAGTGACTCCGAGGATTGTCGCAGGTTCGTTGACGTTTGGCAAGTTCGCATTGTCTGGATGGTTTTTCGGATCTTGTAACAGAGGAGTGTCGGTGCTCATGTTTGCGCACTCGATGTGGAGGTATTACGGTAGAGGCGAGCGGGCGTCGTATCGGCTAGCGAATCCGGATATATGTGAAGGTAGTATAGCTAGTTGCGATAAAACTCCATTACATGGTCCTGCCAACGTTCTGGAAAGATGGAAGATGGACCTGCAAGAGATGGTGCTACAATGGATCCAAATCGAGGCCGCGTTCGAGGCTGCATCAGACGAGGAGGTGTAGTGGTCTAATACGTTAAACGGTGGGTCTCTCGTGCCGAACGTCCAAGTCATGACATGCGTGCGTTGCCCTCCCTACGACACATGGTGCAACCCCTGCTGTCCCGCATGGAGGATCAAAAACGGGGTCGTGCAACTAGCGGCAGGTGAGCCTGTACATGTCCGAACCCCTGCTGTGATAGGTGTGATGGGTTGCAGCGCAAGGGCTTCTCCTACTCGGTCCTTGTGAGACATTAGACACTGGCGTAACTGGCAACGCTTCTTTCGAAGATGACAGCGTTTGACCAAGCTGGCGACCTATCATCTACACATTCATCGACGAACTACATCGCGGGGGCGCCGCAAGGGTCCACATTAAGGGGGGCGAAAGCAAGTCATGAAGGTTGTTTGATCGCTTGTCGTTCACCTGTGTTGCAGCCACGAACAGGATGAGAAAAAGTCGACCAGAGTGCGCGCGATGGTGGCAATAGGATAGTCTGCCGACAGTCGAGTTTGATTGGTACCCCGCAAGACAGCCTTGCAACCTGGTCGCCTGAAACCAGATAGCCCAGAACTTTGTTGCTTAGGTTTGCTTTAGATGCTGAATATATGCCACTTTCTTGATTTTTCTTCTCTTAGCCTTGCTCAGGTTCCTGCAATAGATGTGCCGCAATGTCGCTTCATCACAAACAAAGGAAAGAAAGCCGGCTGGACACAGGCGAGCCAATAGAGTCCAGGATCTGTGAGCGAGCGTGCAGCCTGTCTTATCCAGGGGATCCTATTGAAGATCAAATCCTTTGAGAAGGAAGCTCCCGTTGGTGGCGTCGGGATGAAGGAGCATGATGTGGAATGAATGGTCGCAGGTCGTTCGAACAGCTACGGTTCGCAAGGGTGGATGACTCGTTTCACGACTCTCCGGGATCCACCACTCGAAGCGAGCAGCTATAGAGCCAGCCCCCCTGCTTGCAAAGTCTCATGGCCCTTCATGACAACAGTGGCCATGGAGATCTCGGTGTTGCCGTATGGTTCGCATCGCATTTTGGAGCCGGCCAATGATAACATAAGTCTAGTTGCACGCGAAGTATACAGTTTCGCGGAGGTTATAGCTCTAGTCGAGCGCGCGGGCGACACGGTGCTTTACCGGGGCATGACGCGACGATGGTTCTGTAGCGGCGCGGCGGTATTCCAGGAAGCGTCCCGTTTTGTCCCCATGTCCCTTTCCTTTTTGACCTCCTATCCGCCATGGCAGTTCCAGCCTGGGGCCTCGGGGCAACAAACATTTGAGGACTACGCCTCGGTCAGATATCGGCAAGGGAAGTCTGTAGCGCAGCCCACTGTATCTGATGGCAGTGCTGGGCCTCGTGGAGCGATTCATGG